ATAGCGTCCCGGCAGCGGGCGTGAGCTGCGGAGCCCGCGCGGTGGCCGAGGAGCATGGTGCGGAGGGCCGGTAGGAGGACCCTGGGGCGCCGTGGGGCGCTGGTCGAATCCCAGTTTGCTCTGGCCCCGCTCCCAGTCTGGGAACGATGCTCGCCATCTCCTGGCTTGCTGTGGTCTTGCTATTTTGCCACACGCTGTTTGGGAAAATAGTGTCTTGTGGCCTGGCTAATCCATTACTAACCACAGCTGGAGACGGGGGACCTCCTGGGGCCCTGGGAGGCGGCGGACGTGCTGCCGAGCTGACGGGTTAGCGGGCTGCGCGCCTACAGGAAGCAGGGCCGCGTCTGCATCCCCAGCTGGAAGCTCCAGTGCCACTAGGCAAGTGACAGACGACCCTGCACGTCTTTGGACAATAGGGACCAGATACTGCGACGCCTGGACCTCAGAGAAGGACTCGACCAGCCAGGCCTCCTCCTTCGCTCGCCCCGGGCCACAGTGTGTGTGCGCGCGCGCGCAGGAGGTCCCTTGGGGAGGGAGGCTCACCTGAGTCATCCCCAGAACCCGGAGCGCTGGCCAGATGCCCCCGAGGGCGCTGCCCTGGTCTTGGCTGGTCCTCGGACTCTGAGATGCCTTTTCAAATAGAACGGATTATGTAGGAAGAATTTAAGCAGGAGCTGAGCAAGTGCTCGGAGCCCCATCTTTTCTTAGGGTTTTTCCCTTTCTGTTTGCCTTGTGGGTATTGGTGTATCTAACATCTTTTATACAGGAAGTAGTTCTTGTATTGTGACTCCTCATTTCTCATAAGGAGAGATTGCTGTTATCCACCTTGGTACAGAAGATAAATAGAGGCTTAGGGAAAGTGACTTAGCCAGGATTCTTCAGCCAGCAAGTGGCTGAAATCGTTAAATGGGATTTGTTGCTGTAGTCTCTGGGCAGATTGTACCTTGTGTGTATGTTGGGCATCGTCAGAGCTTTTGGCTTTTTGTTCTCCTCACACTGGCTCTGAATCATTGAGTGGCTCTGAGAGGGTCCTCCACACTGCCCCTCAGTCACACCAGCAGGGAGGCTTCTTAAAACCACTTGATATACAGATTTATTTGTAGCTGTTTACCTTAAATTCACACACCATGATTAGTGGCAAGATTTTTCATTGTACTTGGTTGAGGGTTCATTATCAGACTGATTTCCTAAACTTCTACCAAAAACCAGGTAGTGTTGTATATTACTGACTTCTCACCCAGGCTTTAGGCTATATTTCAGTTAACTTAGGGATTGTTGCTCTAAATTAGTTGTAGTTTACGTTAACTTAAAGTACTTTTATTTTTTTAAATAGAATTTTCCAGTACTAAAGACACTTTTAGCGCAAAGCAGCAGTGATAGTCTTCCCCAGACAGCTTCTTTAAAACCAAACAGATTTGACCTGTTCTTCCAGACTCAGAATTGTCCTGAGAAAAGTTCCTGAATACCATAAAATATTAAGTCACCTCTTGTCAAGGCCTTTTTATCCTTCAGAACTTTAATGTTTGCGTGTAAATGTTTCTGTGGGTGAGTTCAAATATCGATGTCAGTAAGCCAGCAGGAACTTGCTTCACTGCCAAATGCTGGGAAGTTTAGTTGACCACTTTGGCCCTTTTGCTAACAGAAGCTGTTTGTCTTAGGTGAATGCTTTTGAGCAGCCTGGATTTTACTTTGTGTTAATACAATTCTAGTTAAAGGAAAATGTGGTACTTCTTATTTTGCCTTATAATGGGAGCATTTTACACCTACTATGTGCCCACAAAAAGAAAAACAAAAACCTGGCAGCACTTTAGTAAATGAGTGTCTTGTGGCCTGGCTTGTCCATTACTAACCACAGCATCGGGTCTCTCTCTGGGCCCCAGTTTCCTTACCTGTAAAAGAAAGAGAAACTGGCTGTTGGTGAGGAGAGCGAATCAAGATGTCTTTACTTCATCAAACATTTATCAAGTGTTGTGTTCTGTGCCACGCTGTGTTCGAGGTAATTGAGGTGAGTCCCACATGGAAGCAGTCAGTGCTGCAGTGTGTGGATGGTGCCACCTTCCATGCAGGCAGACAGTAGTGGGGTGGTGATTCACTAGTCCAGACAGACCTGCCTTCTTTTGTCTGGGTCAGTCCCTGCCGTGTAGGTTATCTGTGTGTGAAAGGTTTCAGAACCCACATGTAATAATACCTACTTTACTTTTGGTATCACTTTGAATTTTTTCAATTATAGCAAAAGCTACTATCAATTATGTTATGATTTTAAAATAATTTTAAGCTAGCTTAAAATTTGAGGTTCACCTTTGTTATGTGTAAATCTTTAAGTATTCAGTTTCTGGATGATGCTTCTTGTCCTCCAGGGTTCTTAGACCAGCCCTTAGAGTAGCATCATGGTCAGGGAACTGGGACTCTCACAAAGTCTCAAGATGTCACAGCAGAACAGGAGGAGGAGGAGGAGGAGACTTGCTTTGGTGTGTTGATCAAGTTGCTATGAGGGTAATTTGCACATTTTGGGCTCCAAAACACCTTCTATGTAAGATAAAAGAATAGCTCAAAATAGGATTTCCCCCCATGTTTTCTTTCTAGGCATCATAAGGATCGCTATGTGAATACAGTGTGTTTTTAAACAATCAGAATTGATATTTTTGGCTTGTGGTAAATGGGACATGAATGCTTAATCTACTGTAGATAAATCTGCCTTAGAAAGTGGCCCAGATTTTTATATTGTATTTGATGTTTAAGTCCCCTGATATCTTACCATTTTAATAAAGCTTACCTTGAAGTGGAGGAAATATTGTGTGTATTCTTGTCATTATTTGAACAACAAAAATCATTATTTGCTTTAAAACCTGTAGGCTTTAAGCGTATCCATGCTTGGACTAGCACATCTCCTCTTTCTCAACCAAAAATATCAAAAAGGTGCTATCCCAGTACCCATCTGCCAAAGCAGTGGGAGGACTTCTAGCAAAGTGTGACACAGAAGGGACAGTTTTCAGCTCTGAGGGGCAGACGCAGAGAGAACAAGCACTTGGAAAGCAGAGCCCCCTGGGAGCTCAGGTGCTGCACCTGTGGCCCCTGAGGCAGCCCTGCCCTCCCCTCCTGGGTATTGGGTGACACTGGTTGCACAGGGCTGGAGGTGTTCCCTCCACCTCAACTCGTGGGTGCAGCTTAATTTTGTGTCAGATCCTTTCTGATAATGTGTGGGTTATTTCAACTATGAGGCAAAGTGCAAATGGGGAGTTACATGTCAGTTTATGATATTTGCCCTTTTTGATATAAGCATTAAATATTTCATATCTTGCCTATTGTACTTTTTAGACTTAAATCTGAAATTTAAAATATAGATGTTTATAAGCTATTAATCTTAAATATTGGGAGAAAGAAGCTTTCTGGAAAATGTACAGTATTATCTGGTGGAACCATTTTATTCCTTTTCTTAGTGTGAGAAATACACATTTATCAAGTATTACTATTTAGGAGTTGTTTTCATCAGGCGGGTACATTGATATAAATGTTAATTTTTAACGTTTGTAAGTTGAAGTCTGACTAAATTGTTTTTTCTCTCTGATTTCATAAGTCACAATTTATATAACCTTAAATATGATTTAATTTGAAGTACTGGCATATTTAAAGGTGCTAAAACTACATGTATGCGTCTCTACCAGTGGTTCTCGACCCAGCCTCATTTTGCCCCCTCCCTCCCGAAAGGACATTTGGGAGTGTCTAGAGATATTTTTGGTTGTTACAACGAGGTACGTTTGTGTGCACTGCTAACTGGGTAGAGGCCAGGAATGCTGCTTAGTGTCCTTCAGTGCATAGAACAGCTCCCACAACAAAGACAGGGTGCTGATCCATACCCATAAATGTCTTTTTTTTTTTTTTTTGGAGACAGAGCCTCTCTGTGTCACCCAGGCTGGAGTGCAGTGATGTAACCTCAGCTCACTGCAGCCTCCACCTCCTGGGTTCAAACAATTCTCCTCCCTCAGCCTCCCGAGTAGCTGTGATTACAGGTGTGCACCAGCTAATTTTTGTATTTTTAGTAGAGATGGGGTTTCACCATGTTGGCCAGACTGATCTTGAACTCCTGACATCAAGTGATCCACTTGCCTCAGCCTCCCAAAGTTCTGGGATTACAGGTGTGAGCCACCACGCTGGGGCCAATAAATGTCTTTTTTAGACAAGTGTATTGTTTTAAAAAGCATTATTTAGCCCACAGGGGGATTTCAAGGATGGGCGCATAATCCTTCCATTTTGACACTTGATGATACATATTGTCCCTCATTTTCCTTCCTTAGTGGTCAGACATTATTGTGAGTACTTTTTTTGATAGATTTTTGCTCTTACTGCCCAGGCTGGAGTGCAGTAGTGGTGTGATCTCAGCTAACTGCAACCTCTACTTCCTGGGTTCAAGAGATTCTCCTGCCTCAGCCTCCCGAGTAGCTGGGATTATAGGTGCCTAACACCGCACCTAGCTAATCTTTGTATTTTTAGTAGAGACAGGGTTTCACCATGTTTGTTTCGCTGATCTCAAACTCCTGACCTCAGGTGACCCACCCACTTCAGCCTCCCTGAGTGCTGGGATTACAGGTGTGAGCCACCATGCCTGACTGTGAGTACTTCTTAAAGTCATTAGTCACATAACTTGCCTAGCAATCCACTGGAGGAATGATAGGTTAAATTTTATTACCTGTGACTTTTGCAACATTGTCTTGTTTTAAAGAAAGAAGTATGTTTGTGAAAATCTTTTATGCTTGTTGAAAGAACAATTTTACATGGAAGAGTTTTTGCTGATGTGAATTTTTTTTTTTTTTCTTAATAGGAGCTTTAACAAAGTGCTTCTGCTAAAACCCCTAACGTGAGACCTACAATTTCATCCATCTTGAGTTCCTGTTTGAGGCCAAGAGCTTAAACTGTTGCCCACTGAGAACATAATACCACATGGTGATTTGACATATTGACTCTTACATTTCTATTTTTTTTTTTTTTTTTTTTTTGAGATGGAGTTTCATTCTTGTTGCCCAGACCGGAGTGCAATGGCACCATCTTGGCTCACTGCAACCTCCGCCTCCCAAGTTCAAGCAATTCTCCTGCCTCAGCCTCCTGAGTAGCTGGGGTTACAGGCACATGCTACCACTTCTGGCTAATTTTTGTATTTTTAGGAGAGATGGGGTTTCACCATATTGGCCAGGCTGGACTCAAACTCCTTACCTCAGGTGATCCACCCACCTTGGCCTCATTTCTGTTTTTTTTTAAATGCCTACTTTTAGACAGAAAGGATAGGGAAATTAAACTGAGAGAGGACATTTGTGCCTGCTGAGACATGCACATTCTAAAGCACTTTATGTTTTATTTAGTGACAGACAATAAAAACCATATTTTCTATGCTAAATGTTTAAGTTTATATATATATATGAAAGGCTGACTTGGAAGTCCATTCAGTTATAGTACTGATTATAATTAATTCTTGAGTAATATAAGGCATTATCTCAACCACTTCCAAGAAGAGTTACTGAAATGCTAGGTTGGAAACAGCTTTTTGAAGCCATCTCTAGCATCTATACCGTAAGAAGCCAGCTTGGTATTAGGGAATTTTTTTTAAATGTGGCTAAGTGCTTTGGATAAAGGGATGGTCAACAGTAAAGCGGAACCTTCTTAAGGAACCCACAATAACCCTACGTGACTGGTAAATTTGGGTTTTGTTTTTATAATTTTTAGACTTGAAAAGCAACTGTGTGTTGTTCTGGGGGGTTCTGATACTGCGTTGGTCAGCGACGTTACCGTGTCAGGTTATGTTACAGTTTGAAACAGGTTCATGCCAAGGGCTTTAATAGCTGTGTAGTTTGTTAATCAGCTTTCATGACACTGTCATTTCATCTAATTGTAACAGCTCATCAAAGGGGACCCAGAGGAAGAGAATTTATGGTGTTCCATAAATCTGCATGGTGGAAAGACTGTGCAGTCTTGGAATTTAGGGTGCAGGATGGGCATACGGGAAGTTGAGTGATGAGGGGAGGAGAGAGAGAAGCAGAGTGGCTGTGGCAGCCTTGTGGCTCTGGGGCCTGGCTCCATATCCAGGTGGAAGTAGGGCTGCCAACTGTGGCTCACGACAGACCCCAGAGCTGGGGGATCAGCCAGCTGCAGGTAGCGCAGCGAGCCTTGTTGTGTCTCTTCTTGGCCCATAGTTGTTAGTGATTCTGTGCCGGGGCTCATCTGTGTTGGTCTGGAAGAAGGTGAAAAGGTTTGTGATTGATGGGAATTCACAGGATGTTTCCATCTTAGGGGTCTTGGTCTGCTCTCTCAGCTAAGGCAGTCTACTCATAAAGAAAATTCCTTCAAAACCTTAGTTGAGTAAAAAGGAAAGCTGTAAGAGTTAAAAGACAAAGCTCTTTTGCCATGAAACACTCAGTGAGCTTTGGGCTTCGGTCAGTGGAACCTGTGACACATCTAGCTTTTTTCTCTGCTGCAAAGATAATTGGAAGGACAAAAATATTGATTGCCTTGTGTGAAAAAATACTGTTTATATTTGCGGGAGAGTGTATGCTTGATTGTCTATTCATTGAGCTCTATAGAACACACCAGCGTTTCTCTCATAGCTAAGCTGTTTTAAATATTGAGGTAAAATATACAACGCAGAAAGTACTTCAAGAAAGCCAATTATAGTGTAGCTGTTTAGAGATGATTCGAGATGATGAAATTACTTTAAATGCCACCTTGAACCCAGTTGAAGATGTGTGCCATATTTAGAATGCCATTTCTAGGCTATTTAAGTAATACCCAGTTGAGTGTTGGAGTACAGTTGGGAGTAACATGATGAATCTGTCAGACTTCTGAGCATCCCAGTGGATTACAGGGGGGAGCTTGCTTTCCAGTGTGTGAGGAGAGAAAAGACCTAATAATAATCCTAAAGGGAAACTGAAATGAAGTAAGGTAGTTTATTAAGTAATAATGCATTTTTTATTTGATAAAACTTTCTGGAAAATTAAATGGTCTTCCAAAATTTCTGATACATTTCAAAAGTAAATCTTTCAGAAATAACGTGTTGTACTGGTGGGGTGGCTCATGCCTGTAATCCCAGCACTTTGGGAGGCTGAGGTGGGCAGATTACTTGAGGTCAGGAGTTGGAGACCAGCCTGGCCAACGTGGTGAAACCCTGTTTCTACTAAGAATACAAAGATTAGCAGGGAAGGGTGGTGGGTACCTGTAATCCCAGCTACTCGGGAGGCTGAGGCAGGGGAATCACTTGAACCCAGGATGCGGAGGTTGCAGTGAGCAGAGATCATGCCACTGCACTCCAGCTTGGGTGACAGAGCTAGACTCCATAAATAGATAGATCAATAGCATGTGTTGTTACATGTGTTAAGGCCTGGCATGGTGGTTCATGCCTGTAATCCCAGCACTTGAGAGGCTGAGGCAGGCAGATCACTTTGAAGTCAGGAGTTTGAGACCGGCTTGGCTAACATGGTGAAACCCCGTCTCTACTAAAAATGCAAAAATTAGCTAGGTGTGGTGGTGGATGCCTATAATCCTAGCTACTCAGGAGGCTGAAGCAGGAGAATCGCCTGAACCTGGGAGGTGGAGGTTGCAGTGAGCTGAGATCACGCCATTGCACTCCAGCAAAATACAGTGGTGACAGCCAGACTTCATCTAAAACAAATTACTTGTGTTGCTCTAATTTTCAACATATTTGCTTATATTCATATTAACTTTGGAGGGGATTTTGGCTAATAGGCTATTTTTAAGTGTTCTGTATGGGTAATAATGATATCCGTTTACTTTTCTGAATTACTTGTTTTTCTTGTTTTTCAGTTTTAGAAAGAGCATTTTCGCTACGTAAAGCACATTCAATAAAGGATATGGAAAACACTTTGCAGCTGGTGAGAAACATTATACCTCCTCTGTCTTCCACAAAGCACAAAGGGCAAGATGGAAGAATAGGCGTCGTTGGAGGCTGTCAGGAGTAAGTAGCAGATGTGCAGTGTTGGTGTTTAAAAAGGCAGGTGCTGGCTGACTGGCTGCCTGCCTGCCTGCTTACCTGCCTGTCATTCGTGCTGTCTAGTTGACCTCAGTAATCATTTCCAAACGTAGTCTGATAGGACACTGTCTTTCTCAGTGATCCACTTTTTGATTAGGAAGCAATTCCAAGGAGCCCTGACTGAATTGTTCACTGGCGTGTGTCCGTGTTAGGTTTTGCTCGTAGTGGGGAATGGAGCCTGTTTTTAGCTGTTCTGCTTTTCTGTATTTAACCGGACTTCATACCACAGCAAGATTTTGTGTTTAGGATAGAAACACTCAGCAACCTCTTGGTTTACTATGTCAAGTTAGAGGTGTTACCAAAGTTCGCTTATGAAATTTGACAATCCCCAGCTTGCTTCTGTTCTGTTTTGCTGCTGTGTTTGGTACGTAACTGTTTATAGGTTGTCCTTGGGTGTGAAGGATACCTTCTGTCTCTGATGGAAAGTCTGCCACGGCTCCCGTTTCTGTTTCTGCTTGCTTTCTGTTTGCAAGTCTGTGGTATCTCTCTTTGCCCATCCCTCCGTTTTCAGCTGTTGATTGTGTCATCAGGTGTGTTAGAGGTATTACTGGATTAGGCACATGTGCATTTTACATTCTGGGGACCCTGCTGAATTGTCCCCCATTGCATTAGTGGTGCTGCCTCCCAGGAGCGCCTGTTCCCTGCACCACCTAACCTTTGCTAGTCAAGTTGACAAACTTGTTGTTTTAATGCATTTCTCTTATTGATGAGGCTCATTTTCACATGATGTAAGCATGTGTGCATGTATGTTGCCTGTTCTGTCCTTTCTTTTTGCATTTACAACACTTTCTGGTGACACCCCTTTGCAGGAGAAGGCCATGTAAGATGATGTATCAGCATCTGCCCAGGTCTGTTTTCTTGGGCTAGCAAAACACCTCACTGCTTGGAATGGACGTAAAGATTGCATTTGCCCATTTCATGCCAGGATGAGGCGCTTCCTTTCTGTGCCTCAAGTGCCCTTAGACCTAGAGTGCCAGAGATGCCAGAACAGTGAGGTAAAAGCAGCTGGGTGGTGTGTGCCATTTCTTGAGTGTCCCAAGTGGCCCCCATCTGGCCTCTGCTGACTGTTACTCTTGGAGGATGGGGTCTGCCTGCTCTGGGACCCTGTCCATGCCCGACTGCTTCGAACCTGTGATTGTAGCTTTCTTCTCTCTGGGCAGAAGCCTGCGATCAGCGCCTTACCTTGAACATTCGCATTGCAGAGAGACTGCAGGCACTACAGCCAGAGATTCACTCTCCTGAAGTGCATGAAGCTTTTGTGTAAAAAATCGACATTTCTAGTGTAATCGGCTCATGTTCATTGAACATTTACGAGGATCTTGTAGGTGTTGGGTTTGTGAATATGTGCTTCATATCTCTGTTGTGTATTGATAAATCACGTCTATTATTTATGTCTGTTTTATATTGATAACCTATTTCTTGATCAAGGTGTGCTTATTCTCAGAAGAATATTTAGACTCTAAATATCTTCTTTTTAGGTACACTGGAGCCCCATATTTTGCAGCAATCTCAGCTCTCAAAGTGGTATGTTTACTTAAAAGTTCTTTAGTGGGATTTTTCTGGTAAATTTTGGTGATTTAAACATGATTAAAGCAAATGTTTTCCAACAGAAATATGAATAACATCTTAGGGTCATCACAGGTCACGGAAACACCTTTAAGTCTATCCTGACATCCTGTGCAGTAAGAAGATCCCTTTGGTGAAGCCCATTTTTGGTGATTTGTACTCACCAAAGTGACCCTGGGATGCCTTTGTAGGTCCCAGCGGAAGCATGGGTCCTGCAGTTTCCCACGTGTTGAGCTAGTGCTAGCGGCCGGCTTTCTCCTGTGACCCTTCCTCCTGGAGGGTCAGGCTGAGCTAGGCTGTGCTGGTGCATGTGGCTCTGACCTTGCTTCTGCGGTGGTGGCAGAAGTCTGCCTTTCTTTCCAGGCATTGTGCTGTGTGCCCTGGCCCTTTGCTAAGCCACCTGGCCGGGTATGACTTGGCAACTAGTCTGTTTCTTGCATGTGTCACCAAGCCAGAATAACAAGCACTGGATGCCCGTGTCTGGCAGGTGGGCAGCGAGGCTGGGGCGTTCTGGGGCCTGTGGATGGGGTCACTGAGTCAGCCTCTTGTGCTCCTTCCTCAGGGCGCGGATTTGTCCCATGTGTTCTGCGCCAGTGCAGCCGCGCCTGTGATTAAGGCCTACAGCCCGGAGCTGATCGTCCACCCCGTTCTGTGAGTTGCTCTGCATCAGCTTCTCCTGGGTTCTTTTTCCCTTCTGCGTCACTTGGGAGTTCTGCACCGACACCAAGAGTGTCTGACGGATTTTCCATCCTTGGAGTTTGTCAGCAGGTGCTGTAGAGGAAGTAGGGAAATGAAGGAGCCCATTCTTCTGTGGTCAGAATAAGACAAACATGGCGGGGTGAGAGGTGGTGGTGGGGACTTGGGCCTGTTGGAAATGGCCGGCCCCAGGTCCAGAGGCAGAGGGGCCCTGTGGGCTGTGTGTGACAGGTTTGCAGAAGGCAGAAACAAGGGGCCTCTGAGCAGTAAAAAGACCCTTTCTGTACTCAGCAGATATGTCTGGTGCCAGGTCCTAGTCTGTGTTCTGTGGGTCAGCATTGAACTGGGCAAGCAAACACCTGTCCCCGTGGGGCTCCCCCAGGCAGCCTGTGCCTTAGAGCTTGCTGTGTGGAGGTGTTCTCTCTGCCATCCATGACTGTGGCCACTGAGTGCTTCAAATGTAGCTGGGGTCACAGGAGTGCAGCTTTTGCGCTTGTTTAATTTTAATTAGGTGTGAGTGCTAGCACCGACTGGATCAGGCTGTGCTGCTCTGGAGACGGACAAAGGAGAGCACATCAGGTGGTGAAGGAGGCATAGAGAGCAGCAGGGAGGGGGCCATGAGAACTGCAGCAGGGAGGGGGCCATGAGAGCTGCAGTAGGGAGGGGGCCGTGAGAGCAGCAGCAGGGAGAGGGCCGTGAGAGCAGCAGCAGGGAGAGGGCCGTGAGAGCTGCAGGAGGGAGGGGGCCGTGAGAGCAGCAGCAGGGAGAGGGCCATGAGAGCAGCAGGGAGAGGGCCGTGAGATCAGCAGCAGGGAGAGGGCCGTGAGAGCAGCAGCAGGGAGAGGGCCGTGAGAGCTGCAGCAGGGAGAGGGCCGTGAGAGCAGCAGCAGGGAGAGGGCCGTGAGAGCTGCAGCAGGGAGGGGGCCGTGAGAGCTGCAGCAGGGAGGGGGCCGTGAGAGCGGCAGCAGGGAGGGGGCCGTGAGAGCGGCAGCAGGGAGGGGGCCGTGAGAGCTGCAGCAGGGAGGGGGCCGTGAGAGCTGCAGCAGGGAGGGGGCCGTGAGAGCGGCAGCAGGGAGGGGGCCGTGAGAGCGGCAGCAGGGAGGGGGCCGTGAGAGCGGCAGCAGGGAGGGGGCCGTGAGAGCTGCAGCAGGGAGGGGGTTGCGTGAGAGCTGCAGCAGGGAAGGGGTTGCGTGAGAGCTGCAGCAGGGAGGGGGCTGTGACAGTGGCAGCAGTGTTGCATGAGAGCTGCAGCAGGGAGGGGGCCGTGAGAGCTACAGCATGGAGGGGGCAGTGAGAAGAGTGGTTGGGGCAGCAGCACAGTGTGATACCTGGCCTTTCCACACCAGGGAGGAGCCGGCGCGGAGCTCCAGGTGGAGCACTGTGATGTGTCAGGGTGACCAAGAAGTGCAGGGCTGGGCCCCGCAGGGAGTGGGGCTGCCGTTAGGGCTGTGGCTCTGGCTCTGAGTAAGCAGGGTCAGAAAGACTCCTGGGTGGCTGTTGGGCTGGGCCCCCAGGGCCGGGGCAGAACGGTGGTAAGGATGCATGGGAGGGAAGGGTGCAGTCAGATGCTAAGAGGGGCTGGAGTCTGGGTGTGTTTGGAAAGTTCGGGGGCGGGATTTGCTGACAGATTGGATTAGAAAAGGCAAGGGGCACAGATGCCACCAAGGGTTTTGGTCTGAGCGAGTTGTCACTCTGTGTGGTGGAGAAATGGGCGTGGGCTTGGGTGGGATGAAGATGAGGCGTTGGATGTGGGGCGCAGTTTGGCTGCCGGTTAGACATCAGGGGATGTGGCTAGTAGACATCGACAGTCGGGACATGGACTTGGGAGTCATGCACATGTGGATGGTGCTTAAAGCTGGAAAATGAGGGAGTAAGAGGTGGTGGGGCTCTGCACTCAGATGCCAGGAGCCTGCGCCGGGGAGGCAGGCAGCAGCAGGGGCTTCTAGGAGTCAGTGAAGCCGCTGTTTCCAGACAGTTCTAGAGGGCCTGTGTAGGCCACTCTGGGTCATTCAAGATGAGGCCTGAGAACAGATGGTTCATCTCACAGTGTGGGGTCCTTGGCAACCCTGACACGGGAGCTGTCAGGGAGGAAAGGGGACAGAAGCCTTAACGGGCTCTAGGAGAGGACACAGCGAACAGGAAGGAGGTGTGAGAAAGCAAAACCCTGTCTCGTTCTGAATGAGACACTGCACAGCCACAGTGCACTGCCTGGGACCTGCTCCGTAAGGACACGGACCATGCTTTACAGCCGCACATGGATGGGTGGAAACAAACTGGTTAACTTTAGAGGGCAGATGATTTTGAAAAGAGCCATAACTTTTCTCCTAACTTGTCCTAAAAGCTGAAAGCTAGGCATCTAAACCTGGGCATGAAAAAATAGATCAAGGAGAGGCAGTGTGGGGCCTGGTTTGGGTCCTCAAACAGGAAGAGGACGTCAAGAGGAAGTGGGAGACTCGAATGATGCTGGGCTTTAATGGGTCGTATTGAACCAGTGTGGACTTGGTTGTGCTGAGCCGGAATGTGGGTGTGTGAGCTGTTAGCTCGGGAGGCTGGGCAAAGGGTACGTGGAACCTTCTGTACTGGTGAAGTAATAAATCCAAATGACAGGAATTATTTACAAGTCATGTCATACTCTTTGTCAATTGTTTTTTCAAAATAAAATGAAAACCAGTATATGAAAGTAAATAAATGTGAAATGGTAGGTAACCACCCTGCCCTTACTTTCCCTGTTTAGCGACAGCCCCGGTGCTGTTGGTGAGGTGGAGAAGTGGCTTCCCCGGCTGCATGCCCTTGTCATAGGACCCGGCTTGGGTAGAGACGATGTGCTTCTCGAAAATGTCAAGGTAACGTGTAACTCTCACTCCCTCACGATGGGCTTGGCACTTACTGTAGTGAGGGTGGAACAGAGGCATTTCTCTTGCATTTTGTGTAGTGTTCTGTGTGCCTCTTCATGGCGTGACCGAGATGAGATTTGAGGACCGGAGGAGAAGCTCAGCGCAGGGGTGGTAAGGAACAGTGCTAAGGTCTGCTTCCCTCCACCCGGCTGTTTTCACGGAGCAGCTGCAGGTGTGTGTGGAGTTGCTAAGATGTTTTATGTTTGATGTGAGGAGAGGGTGAGCAGGACTCAAGAGCTGACAGAGGTTTGGAGTCAGGCCTGAGGGTGTACATCCCATGCACCCACTTCTTGCTGGGGGACCCTGGGGTTCCCTCAGCCTCCTGGGCAGCTGTTCCTACACAGCCCTGGCACCATGCTCTGCTGACATCAGGCTGTGCGGTGACACAGGCCTGCTTGTCCACACCCATGCGCATGCACATGGACACTCATTCATGCTGGTATTTCATTCTTAAAGTTCATTTTATGCTGACCTGAATCCAAAAAGACGGAAATTGTTTATTCTGATGACTGTGTCTGCGGTAAACAAGTACCACCTGGGATCAGGGCACTAACAAGATGGGGATGGCCGCTAGCTCTGTGTTCTCTGCGGCTGCTGTGTGTCCCTGCTAGGGTTGTGCTCCTGGGGTGCTGCATCCCAGGGAGTGCCCTCTGAGACCCTTTCTCGAGTTCCTGGGGACCCCTGTCAGAGCTCCTGAGGGAAGACGCAGCGCCAGATGGCCTGGTGCCACAGTGCTTTCACATGTGCAAGGCGCGGTGACCGCAGGTGGATCAGAGGCCGAACATGAAGTGAGGGACTCTGCTGGAAGCCTTTAGAAGGTGCCTGGCCACACTGTGTTCCCAGACCAGCAGTCAACCTGAAAATGTCAGCCATTTGCATGGCACTCTTTTGAGTGCTTAGTTAACAGAGGGGTTTCTGAGGCTGCAGGTGCTTGAAGTCGGTGGGCAATGGAGCCAGCAGTGCAGGATGAGTCATCTGGGGGGAAAGGTAGATGCAGGCCAACACCATACACACCAGGGCAAGCAGCATGGAGTTAGCATGGGAGCCCATCTTTGAGCTTTAAGGTCTTACCCTCTCACCGAGAAGAGGAGGTGGCCATGTTTAGGAGCAACAGAACCCTCTATCATCCCGGGGAGAGGCTCTCAGTGGGGGTCCCATCTGCAAGCGCTGGGTCTGCTGGCACAGCTGCTGCTTCCTGTCCCGCTCTGCATCCTGGGGGTGTGGATGAATTAAAGGTGAACAAACCAGAGTTCTCTGCCTCAGGTTCTTTTCTTTGTGAATTTAAGTTCATAATTTAAAAGTTGCTGTCTTCAAAAGCCACTCTGCAACGTGGAAATGTGAAAGGTGGGAAGTAAGGGTGCGCCTCGCTGCCCTTGCAGCTCGGACCCGGGGCCTCCCATTCTGGTTCCCCTATGCGCTCCGTGTGGGCTTGAGAGTCCTCGGGCGACTTCCTTGTCAGCTTCCAGCTCGTGCCTGGCGCGGAGCAGAGGCTTCCTGCTTCATGACATTCCTGAATGAGGTCATCATCCGGTGTGGGCCTGAAAACAACCCGATTAGGTAGATTTCTGTTCATATCCTATTCTTCTGATGACAACTTGAGTCCTGGCAAGGATTCAGGACGCCCAAGGGGTCTTGTAGCAAGGAAATAGTAGAGGTAGTTTTTTAAGAACAACTTTATTTAGATGATTTACCTACCATACACTTCACCATTTAAAGTGAACTACTCAGTGGCTTCAGGTATATTCATAGCTGGGCAGCCGTCACCGTGATCAACCTTAGAACATGTTTGCTGCCTCCAGAAGCCCATCCCGTTAGTATCTGCTCCCTCTCTCCCCAGTCTCTGGCAGCCACTCAGCTACTCACTCTGTCTCGATGGATCCGCCTGTTCAGAACATTTCATATGAACGGAATCACACTATATGTGCTATTTAGTGACTTGTTTTGTTCACGCTGCATTTTTTTTATTTGAGACAGAATCTTGCTTTGTTGCCAGCCTGGAGTGTAGTGACACGATCTCAACTCACTGCACCCTCTGCCTCCTGGGTTCATGATTCCTCTGCCTCAGCCTCCAGTGTAGCTGGGACTACAGGCATGCGCCACCATGCTGGGCTAACTGGTTTTTGCATTTTAGTAGAGATGGGGTTTCGCCATGTTGGTCAGAATGGTCTTGAACTCCTGACTTCATGACCCGCCCGCCTCGACCTCCCAGAGCGCTGGGGTTACCGGGGTGGGCTGCCGCGCCCGGCCAGCTCTGCCTAATTTTATAGTAGTTATTACATGTTGCGGCGTGTGTCAGCACTTCCTTCCTTTTCATATCCAGTGTTTTATTGTATGAATATACCACCTTTGGCTTATCTGTTCCCTAATTTATGGAAAATTGTTTTGTTTCCACTTTTTGTGTGGATGTTTTCACTCCTCTTGGGTGTCAGCATTTCACCTTCGGAGGCACTGCCACTGTTTCCCATAGCGGCTGCGCTATTTTTATTATGCGAACCAGAATGTGAGGTCCCGAGTCTGAGCTGCAAGGGCAGCGAGGCGCACCCTCACTTCCCACCTTTCACACTTCCATGCTGCAGAGTGGTTTTTGAAGATTCCCCCCAGCAGCGTGCGAGGTCTCTGATTCTTCACATCATCCCCAGCACTTGTCACTGTCGTCCTCTACTTAGTAGCCACCCTAGTGGGCGTGGAGTGGCCTCATTGTGGTTTGGTTTGCATTTTCCTGGCAGCTAATGCTGCCAGGAAGCATCTTTGCATGTGCTCACTGGCTGTTTGGGTACTTTTTTTTTTGAGACAGATTCTCGCTCTCGCCCAGGCGCAGTGGCGTGATCACGGCTCACTGCAAACTCCACCTTCTGGGTTCAAGTGATTCCTTTGCCTCAGCCTCCTAAGTAGCTTGGACTGCAGGCGCCCACCATCACACCCAGCTAATTTTTGTTATTTTTGGTAGAGAGGGGGTTTCATCATGTTGGCCAGGCTGGTCTTGAACTCCTGACCTCAGGTGATCCACCTGCCTTACCCTCCCAAAGTGCTGGGACTACAAGCGTGAGCCGCTGTGCCTGGCCTGTTTGGGTATCTTCCTTGGAGAAGTGTCTATTCATGCCCTTTCCCCATTTTGAAAATCGTTTGCCTTTTTATTACTGACTTTTAGGAGTTATTCACATTCTTTCTAGACACAGGTTTCTTTTCAGAGATGATTTGCAGCTGTCCTCTCATTCTGTGGTTGTCTTTTCACTTCCTTGCTGGTTTTGTTTACAGCACAGATTTTTAATTTTGAAGTCCAATTTAGCTATTTTTTTCTTTTGTCCCTTATGCTATTGGTGTCTTATCTAAGAAGCTATTGCCTAACCCAAGTTTACACCTACATTTTCTTTTACGAGCCTTGCTCTTTCAGCTCTTGCATTTAGCTCTGCGCGCATGTTGAGCTGGTGTTCGTGTGTGGTGGAAGGAAGGCTTCAGTGTCATTCTCTTGCTTGTGGGGTCCGGTTGCAGCACCGTGTGTTGGAGAGACTCTTCTTTCATCCTCCTTGAGAATCCATTGACCCCAAATGTGAGGCTTCTTATGGACTCTCGTTTCTGTTCTGTTATCTGTATAGCTTTCCTTCTGCAACTACCCAGTCCTGATTGCTGTGGCTGGGTAGGAAGCCTTGACGTCGGAAAGCCTAAGTCCTCCAGATTTGTCCTTTTCAAGGTTGGGTGGCTCTCCTGGGTCCCACGCAGTCCAGTTTTGGATCAGCTTGCTGGTTTGCAGAATAGGCAGCTGGGGTTTTGGTAGGGATGGTGTTGAAACTGAAGATCCACTGGGGGAATGTCTAACATCATCTGGCTTTGAACCCAAGTTGTCTGAATCCAGAGCGTAGGCTCTTGACCAGTGCCCCTGTCCTCACACTGTGCTCTTCTCACAGCTCATTATCAGTGTGTCCTGGGGACTTTTTCATGGTGGGATATGCAGATATTCCTCATTATTTGTAACAGCTACATCAGAATTTACTATGGATATACTAGAGTGTATTCAACTAGTTCATTTACTGTTTCTGCCTTTTTTTGTGTTACATCAGGGGTGTCCTGAATCTGTGTATTTTGTCCACTCTTTTGGGTATTTTCTAAGATAAATTTTTAGAGGTTCCATTGCTGAATCAAAGAGTAAGGACATTTAAATTTTTGAGAGATGCCCCCAGATTTCTCCCCTAGTGTCCCATGGTTTGCTTTCCCATGGGTGGGACACCCTTCTGCGCTGGGTGCTCTGACGCTGTGAATCTTTCTAGGAGACCCCTGTCACATTGCATTTTCCAGGGTTTGAATATTCACGTTTGACTACTATTTGTAAATACATTAAAAGAAAACACAGAAACAAATGAGATGTCAGATTGTTGCCAAATACTGCAACATGAAATCAGAAACTGATCTAAAATCTGAGTTGGCGAAAGCCTGACAGTTTTAACAGTAAAATCAAACTCAGGGCAAGCAGAGAAATAATCTTTTTGGTTAATAAAGGAAATCAGCTTCTGTGAAGTCTCAGGTACCTGCTTCTCAGGTACCTAGAAGAGGCCGTGGGACAGACACACTGCCAATGCATGGACCAGCGTCAGAGCAAAACAGACTTCCCCACAGCTGGGATACGCGTCACCAGACAAGCTGAAATGAGCAGTTTGTTAGGCAGGCAGCTAATGCTTTGTCAGCGTTCAAATTTCATTTAACTTTTAATATACATGACTTTAGTTTTCAGCACTTTATTCTTACCTACCACATACTTAATGTTCTCTATTCTTAGCATGGTCTTCAATGTTTTTTAGTAGGTGTCTATCAAGTTAAGATCACTTTACATGCTACTGCAGAATATAATCTTGTCACAATGTATAAAAATAACCAATGTTGAGTACATGGATTTGTGTGTATCTCTATACATGTAGTTTTTTTTTTTTTTTTTTTGAGACAGAGTCTTGCTCTATCGCCCAGGCTGGAGTGTAGTGGCACAATCTCAGCTCATTGTAACCTCCACCTCCTGGGTTCAAGCGACTCTCCTGCCTCAGCCTCCTGAGTAGCTGGGATTACAGGCGTGTGCTACCACGCCTTGCTAATTTTTTTATTTTTAGTAGAGACAGGGTTTCATCATGTTGGCCAGGCTGGCCTCGAACTCCTGACCTCGTGATCCACCCACCTTAACTTCCCAAAGTGCTGGGATCACAGGCGTGAGCCACCACACCCAGCCACATGTAGTATTTTTTAAATAGAAAACCTTTGAAACCTTCACTGTAATCTTATCAGGGAAAAATGATTCCCTGTTTATTGTCACGTGTTACTTTAAAATATGTAAGTAAAGTGATATGAAAAATACATAATGACTAGTGATTTGGGGAACTTGCGAGAATTCTCTGAATGCTGTGGATTAGTATCTGCGGGAGGACTGGAAGCCCTTGGTGGGCGGTGGGTGTGTCTTCACGGGTTACTGGGAGCCCAGCTGTTTCTAGCATTTCCACTGGGCTTTGCTTTTCAGAGTTCCCAGGGTCCTGTCTCACTAAGGGGCTCTGCCGGTTCCTTGGGTCTTGCCTCTCTGTTTATTCATTTACTTTGTTTTCCAGTTATTGTTTGATGACTTGATGTTGCATTTTATTAATCTGCTCAATTTTCCTTCACTGCTCTTGGGAAGAGTGTCTTAGTCTGTTTTGTGCTGCTCTAGCAGCCCCACAGATTGGGCCATTTGTAATGAACAGGCGTTTCCCGCCTCATCAACATCAACATGCCGGCATCTGGTGAGGGAGGAAGGGCAGGAAAGTGACCCTTAATGCCCCTTTTAAAGGACATTAAACCCACCCATGAGGGCTCTGCCACATCACCTTTTAAAGGCGCCACTTCCCAGTGCCCAGTTAAGTTTCACCGTGAGTTTTGAGAAGACACGCATCCACACCATAGGCAGAGGCAGCAGGCATGGTGCTCAGCCTAGTTTTCTCTTTTGGCAGGGCATTTTGGAAGCGTCAAAGGCCAGGGCCATCCCTGTGGTCATCGACGCGGTGAGTTGACCTCTCTCATCCTGGCTGGGGAAGTGAGCCCGGAAGACCTGTCCAGTAAGCCCTGCTTTTTGTTCCATGCAGGATGGCCTGTGGCTGGTCGCTCAGCAGCCAGCCCTCATCCAGGGCTACCGGAAGGCTGTGCTCACTCCCAACCACATGGAGTTCAGCAGACTGTACGACGCTGTGGTGAGTGAATGGACCCCCAAACGGTGGACATGAGCCCCATTCGTCCTAAAGAGGGTGAGGGGCGAGCTCCATGCTTCTGCCCAGCTTGTCCCTGTGGGCACATCTCCGCAGGGACACAGACCTCAAGTCATCGCTGTGCCTCTCACAGTGGATGGCGTGTCTTCCCATTGTGCTCTTTGATTGGATGAATGATGGTGTGGTGGACTTGGGACAGGCAGGGATTCGGGTCAGCCAGCCCCCTCCTGCAGTGCACTCTGGACAGATCACTTCGTCTCTGTCCTGAGTACCTCGTCTATAATGTGATGATGGCATCTGCTTCATGGGACTGTGAGATGAGGAAACCTGTGTAAAGCCATGAGTTCCCACATGGTAAGTGTCCCATTAATGTTAGCGCCCAGAACTATGGAATTTGTATCACTCCTGCAAAGCTCTCAGAACCCAGCCTTGCTGTCCTCCTTCAGCCTGGTCTGACCAGGTAGAGGACGGGCACTGGCAGGCACTGCGTTGGTGTCTGCTTGGAGGAGTTGCTGCAGGTGATATCCTGGGCTTCCAACTATGCAGCCTCTAACCGGTGCCTGGGTGATCCTTTCAGATGCAAGAGTGCAAGTCTCATGGCAGATGGGACAGGGCTATCCGTCATGTCACATGTCATGTGTCTGAGGAAGGCTTTGCTTTTTCTGTGTCTTGCTGCGTTGCCGTAGTTCAGAGGCCCTGTGGACAGTGATGACCGCCATGGATCTGTGCTGAGACTCAGCCAAGCCCTGGGCAATGTGACGGTGGTCCAGAAAGGACAGTGTGACATCCTCTCTGATGGCCAGCAGGGTGAGCGGCGGCTGGCCTGTGTGTGTGAGCTGGTGTTGGGTCAGGCAGCGCGACCACACTGAGTGAGCCCCAGAAGTCCTCTAGCATGCACACGTGTTCACACGCATTCCGCACAAAGGAATTCCTGATGAGCTCGACAGACACACCTTCTCCAGAGTCCATGTTTTTGACTTCTCACTGTTTTGCTGGGGAAGTGACAGTGGTAAGAGCAGGCTTTCAAGTTGTGGGCTCTACGCATTGGCTGAATTGCTGTGCCTTAGTTATGAGAAGCAGCCTGGCAGGAGGGTGCCTGGAACAGCAGGGCACACTGTAGAGTCCTGGGTTCATGTCCCCAAGCTGCCACCTTCATCTTTCATCTCACTTGTGGCATCCACGATCCATGTGGTTATTTGGGTATTTTGCTGCATTTTGTTCTATCCAAATGACTGGACAGTGCAGAAAGCCCTGCACACTCCTGCACACATCCACACACCCTCATCCACATGCCCTCGCACTCATCCACACACCCACTCATCCACACACACACTTATCCACACACCCTCATCCACATGCCCTCGCACTCATCCACACACCCTCACACATCCACATGCCCTTGCACTCATCCAAACGCTCACACTCATCCACACACCCTCACTCCATACACCCTCACTCATCCATTCCTTCACACTCATCTACACGCTCACTCATCCACACCGTCACTCATCCAAACGCCCACTCATCCACACACACACTTATCCACACACCCTCATCCACATGCCCTCGCACTCATCCACACCCTCACACTCATCCACACGCCTTTGCACTCATCCAAACGCTCACACTCATCCACATACCCTCACTCCTCCACTCCTTCGCACTCATCTACACGCTCACTCATCCACACCGTCACTCATCCAAACGCCCACTCATCCACACACACACTTATCCACACACCCTCATCCACATGCCCTCGCACTCATCCACACACCCACTCATCCACACACACTTATCCACACACCCTCATCCACATGCCCTCGCACTCATCCACACACCCACTCATCCACACACACACTTATCCACACACCCTCATCCACATGCCCTCACACTCATCCACACACCCTCACACTCATCCACACCCTCATCCACACGCCCTTGTGCTCACATCCCCAAGCCCTAGCACTCGACTCCGTTGCACTCATCCACTCCCCCACACACACAATCCATACACCCTTGCACTCATCCAAACGCTCACTCATCCACACCCACATCCACTCACACTCATCCACACACCCTCACTGATCCACACTCCCTCGCACTCACATCCACACACTCTTGCACACTCACCCACACATAGCTGGGCACAGGGACCACAGAGCTCATGTTCTCAGGGGCTGTTGGCACCTTTGAGATGAGGGTTTTTAATCACTGGAAGGCTCTCTTGGGTCTAACGCATTTGGAGAATATAACACCTGGTTTTAACATTTTCCAAAGAAAGGGAATTCCCGCATTCACAGGCACACATAAAGTTAGGAGGGGGTGGAGGCCTCGCTCGCTGTTGTCCCATGCGGTTGGGTGGGGGTTTAAGGTGAACTCTGCTGTGTGGGCTGCAGGCGAGGGCTCATCCTCTGGGAGCTGGTGGGAGGAGCTGGATACCAGTTCCAAGCTGTGGGTGTCTCCTCCAACCTGGCGTGCTTGCTACATATCAGGGCCTGGGGCAGCCTCATCACTTCCTGCCTCGGTTTCCTCTTCTGTAAAACAGAGGTGCCTCCAGCCCTTGGGAGGAACAAACAGGGAAGAGCCGTAGCGGCAGGATGTGAGTGGAGCCTCAGGCACTCCTGGAGCATGTGGCTCTGGCTGCGTGGCGTGCAGCCTTCCACATGGGCGGCCACTGTCACATTCACACACATGCCGTGCTGACACCTGCTCCCTACCCCCTGCAGTGCTTGTGTGCAGCCAGGAAGGCAGCAGCCGCAGGTGTGGAGGGCAAGGAGACCTCCTGTCGGGTTCCCTGGGCGTCCTGGTGCACTGGGCGCTCCTTGCTGGACCTGAGAAAACAAATGGGTAAGGCCGCATGTCCTCACTTATTCTACTCTGAAGCTGAGTTTTCTAAGCCATCAGTAGTTCACGTGTTGAATAAATAGCCCTGGAAACACTGAGAATGAACTCTGGGCCTCCCTGGAGACATCCCAGGGCACAGGCAGACCCTCTCGGCAGAAGCTTCCACTCCACACTCGGGCCTGGGGCAGGGGCGGCCTTTAGAGCTTTACAGCGAGTTGGGAGGTGCACGGCTATTGTGGGGAGTGGAGTGGTTTACTCTCTGTACACAGAATACTAAGAAAACAGACAGGGTCAAGGCTGAGATACTTGCTCTTAAAGATGGGAATTTTCTTTAGAGAGCAGAATTCTGGGACCAGGGCTCGTTGCCCAGTTCTGCAGTCAACTCTGTGAATGCAGGCAGTTCTCAGACCTCTGAGCACTTCCGTTTCTCTTCTGTGAGCCCGTCATGGTGACAGTGGCATGTGCTAGGTGTGGTAGACGTGGGCTTCTGCAGGTCAAGCAGGCCTTCATCCAGTGGCCTCACCTGCCCTCATTGCTGGGATGGGGAACTCTGGGGCCATCCCCCACTGTGTGTGTCCAGATGAATTTGAAAGCCGAGGAGGTGGGGGCGTGGGCAGGAGTCTTACCGGTAATTCTGCTGGGTTCACTCTAGTTCCCCCACGCCCCTCTCCCAGGAGATGTAGCCTTGGAAGCAGGAATCCACATTCTCATACCTCAGCTGCCCTTCACACCTGGGCACTGAGAGCAGTTACACTACAGGGATCCGTAGCTCGTGCCACCTGGCTTTGCCCCGACACCTGCCTGCTGCATGCCCTGGCCCATCTCCGAATGCTAGGCATTTCCCGTGTGCCTCCTTTCAGAGAATAGTGGAGGGTTCATGGTGGTTTGCACTGTGATAAAGTTGCTTTCTCCTCAGAGGCATATCAGACTTGAAATTGACAATCTGGGGTCCCAAGATTGCAATGAGAGTCAAACCCAGAGCCCAGGGTAGCTGCAGCCCCGGACTGATGCCCACTTCCCGCACCCCTGCTGTCGCCCTCCCCACAGGTCCAGCCCTCTCCTGGTGGCTGCGTTCGGTGCCTGCTCCCTCACCAGGCAGTGTAACCACCAAGCCTTCCAGAAGCACGGTCGCTCCACCACCACCTCTGACATGATCGCCGAGGTGGGGACCGCCTTCAGCAAGCTCTTCGAAACCTGAGCATACGCAGACCAGAAAGAAACAGGCACCTCGGATGGGGGAGAGCGTGTGTGACGGCAAAATCGGACTCGTGTCCTGGCGCGTGCCAGGTTTTCAACTCCAGCATAAATTGGTGGTGGTTGAGAATTTAAGAATTTGGAATATTGCAGTTTTTGGCCAAACTGGATGCATGGTCGGAGATGTTATGGTGACACTAACCAAAGCATTCCCGAACCTTCCTTAGCTCCTGGGAAGTAACTGAGAAGGCAGAAATGAAGTCACGTGAGAATGAAGAACTCTCGGCCTGCTCCAAAATAGGCGGTTCCTACAAGTTGTTCTCTCTGCCCACGCACTTCCCTTTTCCCCCCACTTCCCTTTCCAGCCTTTCCTCCAGCAGGGAGCGGGCACTGGTCCCGAGTCTCCCTGAGGGCCAACTACACTGTGTTTTCTCTGACTGGGTCCATCGGGGACTGCCTCGTTGTCCAGCTCGTCTTGTTTTAAAGTAGTGACTAGCTCGGTGCTGTCGGGCTGCTGGTATCTGGTGGGCTTATTGACACTCCAGGATAACCAGTGATCACTTTGTTTGGAAATCCTTTTGGAGGCACCATGGGAACAAGAAGGAAACAGGAGTGACGGTGACCCTTGCATAGGTGGGCAGGGAGCTCTGGGACACCTCCTGTCCCAGGCTCTCTGGGGTCCCTGTCCTCAGAGGTCCCATGATGCCCACCAGCCCCAGCAGGGCAGCCCTGGCCAGGGGCGGGCACAGTGGAGGGCTGCTGTGGCCCCCAGTGCTGTCTCAGGAGAAGGTTCTGAGGACTTGGGGCCTGCTGGGCCTGGTGCAGCGATGACACTAAGGAGGCCCGGGGAAGAGTGTCCCAGTCATGTGTGCTTAGGAATCAGCACAGCCGTGTCCTCAGGATGTTCACATCCAGCAAAGATACTGGTAACCACAGCCTCGGCAAACGCTTCCTGGCAGTGTTGACCTTGGGTGAGCTGCCGCTGTCTGTGGTTTTCCTGGAGTGACCTCACGTTTACTTATTCTCTAGTTCCATGTCTCAGTGGGGCTTGGCACGGTTTCGTGTCTGATGTGTGCATTAGAGAATTCTTTATACTTCCATTAACGCCTTTCCACAGCAAGGGCCAGACCTCCTGGTTCCCTTCAGAGGCTTTTTGTCCTCATGATGCCTCCTGGGTGATGCTCTGTGAGACAGACACGCCCCAGATGGATTCTATTCTACTTACTTAAAAAAAAAAATGATTGTTACTATTAATTTCACACCTAAGAAGCTTCCTTGTCTACATGTGAACCTTTGCAGAAAGAATGCCATGGGCATTTTTCCTTCTGGGAATTCCATCTAAATTCTGGCAACTATTAAAAGACAGATCTGGTTAATTTAAATCTACTGTGGTATTTTTTTCCTTAAACAGCTAAAGATCACCTTTCACCTTTCTTAGGTGAGGATATTGTGAGATGCCAGGGAGGTAAACATAGATCAGCCTGTGTGACAGTCCCTCACCACCAGCGCCTGCCACCCACAATGGCTGCAATAAAGAACAGGGAAGAATAATCCTGAGGCAGCCCCTTCTTTCCTTGGGAAATACAATTCAGCAGTCACAGAACTGTCACGGTTTTGGTTACTAAGTTTTGTTCTAAGTATAACAACCCTTTGCTTAAAGGAGAGAACGGTTTTTTTTACGATCAGCTCCTTGCTTCCTGTTCTTTCTCAAGCCCTTGTATCTTACACACTTGCTCCAGACACTCCCAGGAGCTTTCCTGGACCAGGGGTGCAACGGAGAAGTGTGTGGGGGCTGGTGAGGCAGTGGCCTGGCAGGCAGGGCAGTCTGCCCCAGGACTGAGCAGCCCTGTTGAGATGCCTCATTGTAAGGCGCTCTCTGGGGCCTTTTTGTATGTGGGTAGCTTCCCTAGGGTGATTTTCTAGGTGGGTGATTTCTGAACTGGCATTGTCATCTGCGGACAGGAGCCACGGTTCAACGATGAGCAGGGCTGTACCCCCAGTCACGGGTCCTGCTGCTGCCTGTGCCCAGATTCAGCTGTCCGTGTGACAGTACAGGAGAGGCCTGGCCCAGGCTCTGCGAGCAGGAAGAGTGGAGCGGGCCATGCTGGGCCACCGACAGCTGTGGCGCTGAGCTTACTACAGAAAGGTGAGACCAGGATGGCAGTAAGGGAGAGGCCTGACCCAGGCTCTACGAGCAGGAAGAGTGGAGCGGGTCACGCTGGGTCACCAACAGCTGTGGTGCTGGGCTTACTACAGAAAGGTAAGACCAGGAGGAGCAAGGTGGGTGCTTCGGAAGGCCTCGCTCCTGCAGCCTGGGTAGCCTGTGTGCACTGGCTGCCGCTTTCCGCTCCGGAATCCTGTCTGGTCACGCCTCACCAGCTGGCTTTCAGCCGGCTGCCCTGATGCCTCTGAACTCACCGCTCCAAGGCCCAGCTGCGACCCCATCACTGCTCTGCTTAGACCAGGCAGGCCAAAGTGCCCTGCAGCCGTCAGGATGTTAAATGCAGTGGGACTGCAGACGGGTCTCAGCTGCCTATTTTCCATGGCGAAGACATTACTTTTATAACCAGAGTAAGACTGTTCTTGCTGGGGGAGGAGCATCCCAGGGTTCACGCTGCCGGGAGAGCCCCCTCTGCTTCAGACTGTGCTGCTGCACGGCCCATCCGCCTCACCCATCCCAGCCCCTCCCTCAGGAGGAAATGCTGTGTCCCGCCACCTCCCTGGGTCCCTGCTCTTCTGTTCCTGTGTTGTGTGGTGCTCCCTGGGTACAGCACATTCGCTGCTGGGTGCTACTCAACGTCTGACGCGACTTCACTACACCGACCATGACCGTAGCCAGGACACCAGAACGCAGTGAACATTCAGGCACAGGTACTGACAGACACCAGCGGGACACTGTGGGTGGGTTACTTTAATGCTGAGCTAGCAGCCTCCACAGGAAGCTTTAAGGTAAAGCTTTGTAAGGAAGGACAGGTGCGTCATGTGTCGTGAGCAGGCTCATGGCTGTGCTCCACCCTCAGTCCCTTTTGTCCTTTGATCCAGCAGTTCCCACGTGGATGTTGTCTGGCTTCTGTCCTGTAGAAGAGAGCCCAACTCTGAGCAGACGCCATGTCACGTGGCACGGGGGGCTGACAGGCGTGATCAGGTTCAGGGTGCCTGTTCCCTCACTGACCTGTCCTAAAAAGCCTGCAGGGCGCTTACAAAGGGCCCCACTGCCTCCAGCAGAAGGCCAGGAGCTGTGCAGCACTGCGGGAGTTGGCAGAGGCTGAGCAGGACCCATGGCCCCATGCTCAGCGTCCCCTCCAGCTGACTTGGCTCCCACCCCGCAGCCCTCCCATCTCATTTTTCATTGGGTGGGTTTCTCAGAAAGAAGCATGGTTATGGGGGACATCTGGGCCTCTGGTGGCCCCACGTCTGTGTGACACCTACTGACCTACCCAGCCACTGGGGTGATGTCCCTGACCTGGGTGCAGTGCTCACCTTGATGTTGATGCCGTGGGCAGTCAGGCCGCGGCGCAGGGTGTCACATGCCTCCAGCAGGGGCTGCCTCTCCAGGCGCTGCTGCCGCTGGGCCTCCCCAGTAGCCTCGGGTGTGGCCAGAGCAAACTGCCGGACCTGCTGCCGGAACCGCACCAGCTCATCCACCACACCCCGCAGGGTGGCCTCGCCACCATCTCCTGAAACACACTGGACCCGCAGGCACGGTTACACCCCCTGGAGACCGTGGCGCCCCAGGTGGTTGGGCTCTGGGCCGAGACACACCCAGCCCTGGCCTTCCCTGATTCCCTAAAGCTGGGCCTTTTTCTGGGACTCGCAGGGATGGGTGCAGCCCCTGAGTGCCGGGCTCTGGGCAAGTCTCCACTCTCAACTCTGAGCATCTGCCATCCAGGCAAGACTGGTGCTCCCTTGGAGGTTAGGACCGGGCAGTGCCTGCCACCCTACCCTGCACACAAGCGCTTGCTGGGTTCCAGACCCCATACAAGTGTGGCCGAGGCATCAGGAGCAACCTGAGGCAGCTGAGAGTCAGCGACTGAGCGCTTGCACACACGTCTCAGCAAACGGTCTGAGATTCCCACCCTCAGGTGCTGAGGACAGTATTTGGGCAGAAGGCCTCTGTGCTGTCCTCCCGCTGGGAACAGCTCCTGGGGCCATGTGGAGGGGGCTGCTGTACCGTCTGTTACATCCATATGTGTAAAATAAACAGACCCACAACCTTTGCTTTGGTGTCAAACTACGTAAACCTCATATGCTCCTCAGTTATCGCTTCCACGATAAAAGTTTTTGTTATCACAAAAATAAGAGCCTAGAGTGGGCCCAGACCTCAGCCCTTGTGGCCGGAGGAAGGTGAGTGAGAGGTGTCTGACAACGGATAGGCAGAGCTTGACCAGATCCCACTTTTCTTACTCGGCAGACTCTGGAAAGCCTCCCCTGAACATGAACACGTACACTGCAAAACCCTGGTCATCTCACACCGGCACTCTCACATGCCTGGCAACGGACCCTGGACTGCTAGGAAGGGGAACTGAGTCTATTAGGTGGTCAGCAGGTATACAAATGAGCCACACTTGGGGCAGACACCATAGTTCTCTTGAGAGCTAGCGAGACGTGTACGGCCCGGAGCCAGGCCTCCACCACACCTGCTCAGGCCCCAGTCCCAAGTGGCGGGCATCTCGGGGTGCTGGGCATCTGGTCTGGAGTGGAGTGGCAGCCCCTGTCCAGGCAGCTGCAGCCAAGCCACACTCCAGAGAGCCAGAGCACTTTGTGCTGAGGATTCTACATTCTACAAGGGCGTCCAGAAAACGACAGAGACATTCTGGGACACAGCGCCAGCTCCAAAGTCCCCCACTGTCAGCCATACACTCCTAACAAGTGACGGTGGGGGACTTTGAGAGTAAGGCAGGAGCCTCCAATCCGTATCGATACAGTAAACGAGTTCCGTGCCAGCCTTGTGAGGAAGGGGAGATTTTCATTGGATCCAAGTCTCTGCAAAAATGCTCCTCAGTTCAAGGGAAGAGGAGGAACGTGGAGAAGCCTGGCAGTGTCTACCTTCGTGACGCAGCCAGCGAGGGTGAGCGTCTCTGGAAAGGCACAAGGGTGACTTGTGCCTGTTGGGGAGCCTGTCCTGTCCTAGGATCATGCGCCAGCCGGCAACTTGCCCTCTAATGGGTCAGGAAAAAAATGTTCTCTTACTGTGCATGTGACTTCTGCACATTCCGAGTTTCAACATAATCAAGTGTGTGCAGAGCTGGCAACACTCTGCTGCTGAGATGGACCCATCTCTGGTTTTGCACACAAGAGTCTGCCACCTGCAGAAGCGGACTGTGTAATTCCACTTAGGAAGTATTGGCTCTGAGTGTGTTTATTTTTCCAGGAAAGTAACATATTTTTAAGCAGATAAATAAATGAGTTTGGCATCATAATGAACTATTCCACGTTAAAAAGGTAACGGTTATTGTTCCAACGTAGAGATAATTCCAGAATTAAGCATTTTAAATAATAGGACCTACCTGTTGATTTGCCAGAGAAATTCCAACAGTTTCAAAAAACTGTTCGAAATAAGAGATGATGGCACCAAACACAGCAGGGCTTCGTGGACCCCCAGGTTCCTGTAAGAAGCCACACCGTGGAAGCTCCTTAGAAGCCGTCTTGGACGGGCGTGTTGGCTCACACCTGTCATCCCAGCACTTTGGGAGGCTGAGGTGGGTGGACCACAAGGTCAGGAGATTGAGACCATCCTAGCTAACACAGTGAAACCCCATCTCTACTAAAAATTAAACAATTAGCCAGGCATGGTAGTCTGTAGTCCCAGCTACTCGGGAAGCGGAGGCGGAAGAATTGCCTAAACCCAGGAGGCAGAGGTTGCGGTGAGCCGAGATCGTGCCATTGCACTCCAGCCTGAGTAACAAGAGTGAAACTCCGTCTCAAAAAAAAAAAAAAAGCAGTCTTGATGGCAGTGGGCAAAGGGAATTCAACGTCAACAGACAAAGACTACAACAGCTCCCTCCAGTCTGGCCTTCCTCCTGGCTTCCGTGGAGGAAGAACACAGCTGTGGCTTCAGCTACCTCACTACAGATCACCCAACTATAGGTGCATCAGGAATCTCTTGTGCCTCAGTTTACCCATCAGTAATGTGGATGGACATAGGTACTAGCTCATCAGGCTTTGTGGGTGAACCGTGATCATGGGCCATGGCAAGCAGCGTGAGCAGGCGGAGGCTGAGTGGGCACTGGGCTAGATTTCTCAGAAAACAAGGCAATCCTGGCACGTGGCTCATGTCAGTCGCCAAACAAGACCCTTGTGTGACACTAGCCCTAGTTTGCCGGTGCCCCAGAACTGCAAAGGTTGGGAAGGAAAAGCGCAGGCACCAGCTTGTCCCCAGCCC